CATCTCCATAAATTTTCATTTAACCGAAATACCATTCATCAAAACAGCCAACACCTTGAAATACATGGCTTTTGTGATGCTAGTGAGAAGGCCTACGGAGCTTGCCTCTATACTCGTTCAATAGATAAACACGGTCATATTAAAACAAATATCATATGTGCTAAATCTCGCGTTGCACCGTTGAAGACAGTTACTCTTGCACGTTTGGAATTATGCAGCGCTGTCTTATTAGCTTCTTTATCCACAACTTTTCTAAACGCCATTCAACATAATATCCATAAAACAGTCTTTTGGACTGACTCGACCATCGTCTTAAATTGGATTAATAAGCAGCCGTGTATGTTGAAAACCTTTGTAGCTAATCGTGTAGCCGAAATACAACAAAAAACTGACGTAAAGAATTGGCGACACATCAGTTCTGAACATAATCCAGCAGATATTTTATCTCGAGGACAGACACCAACACATTTCGTGCATAATTCCATTTGGCGTCATGGACCCGAATGGCTATCTAGAAGCGAAAGAAATTGGCCTCCCTCTAAATTCACCATCTGTAATGATGTACCTGAACTCAAACGACTAATCTGTTTAGCAACTACATCAAAATACAATGATGAAATATTGTTCCGATATTCCTGTATCAAAAAATTAAGACGAGTAGTAGCTTACATTTTACGTTTTGGTCGACGCACACACAACGGAGGTCCATTGACGGTAGAAGAAATACAACATGCGAATACACGCATCATCTGCCTTTTACACTCTACCGCATTCTCCGATGAAATTCGACAATTAAAAAATAAAGACGGACTTCCTCCAAAAAGCAAGTTGGTTTCTCTGAACCCATTCCTCGATGATCATGGAATAATTCGAGTAGGGGGTCGATTAAAAAATTCAAATCTCTCATACGAACAGAAGCATCCCATTCTTTTGCCGAAGAATCATCACATCACTGATTTGATCATACGAGATGCACATTGTTCTAATTTCCATGAAGGCATCACTTCCACTTTGAACACCGTACGACAGACTTATTGGCCCATAGATGGGAAGAATGTTACGCGAAAAATCGTTCGTCGTTGCATTAAATGTTTTCGTTGTAACCCTCCATTCACTAATTATATAATGGGAGATCTCCCAGCATCTCGGGTTATCAAGGAACGACCCTTTTACAATTGCGGAATCGACTACTGCGGACCGTTCTACATCAAGGAACGTCGTTACCGAAATCGGACCCGCATCAAAATCTACGTATCCGTATTCGTTTGTTTTGTGACCAAGGCTGTACATCTTGAAGTGGTCAGCGACATGACAACAGAAGCATTTATCGCAGCCTTGAAAAGGTTCG